ATTAACAAATCTAGGAGGAAATTATACAGGTGTCAATATACTATTCCCTTAACATTTCAGTTGTAATAAAATCTGTGGGGGAAGCAGTGTGCTGGGGACACGCAGGCTTCTAATACCGTGAGGCCTTGCTCACCTGTCACCGACAGGAGTGCGAGTAGGACACAGTGGGTATACCCAAACCCAGGCACAAACCCCAGCTCCTGCCTCATCTGCTTGTGACCAAGGGCACATTTCTTAATCCATCTGAGCCTCGGAATCCTTAATTGAAAACTAGTAATAAGAAATGGTGTCTATTTGCTAGAGTTCTTTTGAAGAGTCAATGGCTTACTATAAACTAAGCAAACAGAACAACGCCTGCCCCTTGGCAAGAGTGTGGAAAGATTAGATACACAGTAAGAGCTGAGTGTATCGTTGTAGAAGTTTTTATTTTAAAAATTCTTTTAACTGCCTTCTGAAAGCACAAATGGGACCCATCTTAATGGCGCCCTGATACCTCGAGTTCACCGGTAGGAAGTCAGTTATAAAATGCAGGTCTCGGGGCATGGGGGAATGAAACGTGGCCCTCACAAAGGGCCACACAGAAGGCACCAGGTGCGGTGGGGGCGCAGATCAGCCAAGGAAAGCTAGCGGGAAAGCAGATCAGGAGGTATGAGAGAGTGGTTTCGTTGGTGGTGTGTTAAATGTTCTCAATATGATGCTCTCACACATGCAAAAGGAGAACTGGGAGAAGTTAAAAAAAAAGGGGGGGGGGAGCAACACAGCAGGAACCTCAGCAGTGAGGAGGCCAAAAAGGTCTATTTCCTTTAAAAACATATTGTGTCTTTTAAGGTGGATTTAAATGCTACCCTACCGTCCACACTGCCAGGCCTCAATCTTACCAAAATGACAGCTGCTTGGCACTGGGACAAGCCAGGGTCCAGTGCCACATGGCTTTTAAGAGAAGGGCAAGGTGGCTGTCCTTCCAGCAGGTGACAGGCTAAACAGTTACGGTTACGGTGTAGCTACATGGCTACCTTGGAGCACCAGGCAGCTAGGAAGAAGCAAGGAGATGCCTTGTTAAGCAAACGCACAGGGCAGCAGCCTGAGGTAATGTGTTTGCCAGGACCCTGTATACGTGTTTTCTAAATGCCCGTGTGCATGCATTGACACAACCCACTAACGGGTCTAGAAAGAGTCACACCCACGCTGGGTAAAAGTGGTTAGCTGGGGGAGGGGAAGCCTTCACATCTGTCTACACATTTCTGCACTGTTTGAAGAGTTTCACAACGAGGCCCAAGGACAGCCTGGGGCTGAGTGGAGGAGGGGCGGGAGCTGCCGGCCTAGATGGGCCCCAGACACAGGGCTGGCCAGTGGCCAGCCTGGCTTTGGCTTGGGAGAAAGAGGTCCCTGTCACTCCCCCTGCACTCTGACAGTCTGCCTTCCCAAAGCCACTGCAGCAGGAGCACCTGCCAGGTGTCCTGCAAGCAGTGTGCCTGGAAATGTATGGAGTTTGTATTGGGGGTGGGGGCCTAAATACCCTGCCCCAGTCCTCTCACTCAGTAGGTAAAGATAAATTTCAGATTAACCTGGCCCAAACGCTCACGGAGAAATGGTTGAGAGAATGCAATCTTACTCTACTTCCCGCCCCCACCCATCCCAAACAGGGCAGCTGACTGGAAACATCTCTGGGGGTCTGCAGAGGGAAGGGTTGTGCATAGCACAGCGCCCACCTTTCTGGCCAGCCCCCCAGAGCTGCTGAGATGGGCAGCATGCAAGATGTGTTGGCTTCCTGGCACCGGAGAGAAAACAGGGCACAGAGGAGTTCTGAGAACAACTCTTTGCAGGGACAAATAGGTAGAAATGTATTCGGGGCATCTCTGCCGAGAAGGCCTGATGGGCCATTCTGCTGGGGGCCCACCGAGCCCCACCATGCTGGACTACAAGCAGGAATTTCCAGATGTAGGACCTGGGGGGTTCAGGGGGCAGGTCTGCCTCCCAGCAGGCCAAGAGCCTTTCCTTTTCCAAGTCCTCGCATTTTCACATCAGAGCCCTTCAGCCTCCAAGAAAATCTGCTCCCTGTCTTGCTACTCCCCAAAGCCAGTCTTAGCAAGCTCCCCAAAATCTGGGCTGGGAGGTTCTGATCAACCAAACAAAAAGCAGTCTGAGTTACAGACATCCGAGTCTTTGTTTTCTCATGTGTGTGCTATAACATCAACAATTACCTAAATGTCCCCAGGATGACTACTGGGGGATGGAAGTGGGAGACCATACTGCCACCCAGCTGTGCGTGCATTGGTCAGGCATGGGGGTAGAGGATCAGAGCAGAGCCAGAGCAGGCCAGGTTCCCCCAAAGCTGACCCCTGCACTTCCCACAGGGTTTTACACACACTTACACACACACACACACACACACACACACACACACACACACACACACGCTCGTTTCCTGAAGGCCTTTCAGGTCAGAGGGCACATCACCAAGTGGCAGGGAGATCTGCAGACGTGTCCCAGATCACAGAGCTACAGAGCAAGCTGCCAACTGGCTTCTTGGCTAAAGTGGTTTTGCTATTCATCTGTGCCATGAAATTGCTATCGGAAGTGGGGGTCCTTAGTGAAGTAGATGGTAGAAGGCCTGGCATGTCCTAAACCACTACCTACAGAGACCCCCCAGAACACTACTTGGAAGCCCACTAACCAAACCACAGCCACCACAGAGTCAGGGACTGCTGTTCATGTCTTCCCTGGGTAGCTTGGCTCCTCGGTCACCCCCTGCAGCCAGCTGCCTGGCCACTCCCTTCTGTGGGCTGCTTGTCTCCAATATGAACACCAGTTACTTATACTCTGCACATCGGAGCTGGGGCTAGGAATGGGCTTCCATTTCTGGAGGTGGCCTCGGCAAGAGGCAGGCAGCCTCTTGGTTCAAAATCAGTTTCACCTGGGGCACCACTTAAACTGCAGTGTTCGGCTGAAGCTCAGCATCTGGGACCTGGAAATCTGCATTTCCAAGGGCCCGGAAGGAACCTGTGCACTCCAGATTTGGAGGTTAGCATCCTCTCTGGAGGCCAGCATCTTCTCTGGAGGCGAGGCCTGGAGTTTCTGCACACACGGAGGGCGGGGCCGGCTCCCTGTACTAATGACGTAGCACGCTGCAGGTAGCCAAAGGGCCCGCTCAGGGCCCACAGACCTGGAAGGGTCGGGGCCGAGCCAACCCAGAAGCCATCCCCGGACTGAAGCTGCCCCCAGTCCCGCTGCCAAGCCGGTCACGCCCCCGACGGCCAGCCCCGCCTCTCGGCCAGCCCCTCCACAATTTGCGAACCCCGCCCCCCCGGCGCTGCGGGGTGGGAAGCCACAATGAAACTGGCTGCAGAAAGATTTTCCAGTCATTAAGTTCCCCGCCCTATACGGGCCTCGCCCCACTAAGGCGGTCCTCAACCCTAGCCACGCCCCCCAAGCGCTGCCCCCGCAGCCGTCCTCTGGGTCCACCTGGCTCCAAACCCAGCTTGGCCCCCCTCTTCACGGCCACACCCACCCTTGCAGTGACGTTCCCAAGCTGAACCAACACCTTTACACTAACCCCACCCCCCATCTGGATCCACACACCCTTAATTCTGACTCAGGATGCCTAGAAATGGCCTTCCCTTCACCTGACACCCACCACCTGCCACGCGGTTTGCGGCGGCTACAGCATGGGACCAGAAACGCGGGGGCAGCCCTTGCAGATGAAGGTTCTTCTGAGATCCCGGGTCTCCTGGACGCCTGCAGACCTCCGACACGCTCAGTACCAATTTTACCGAGAGAAAACAGATTTTCAGGTCTACGATCTTGGAGGCTGCAGTTTTAAAATCAGTCTTTTAATCACCTATGAACTACTTTACAAATGAGAAGGCTAAACTTTTGATAACAAGGAAACGGCCTAGGCATACGGGTTTAGGACTTGCCCAAATGTGGATGAGTTAAGTGCCACTGAAAAGTTCGCGTGAGCTCAGAGAGGAAATATACAATTCTTTAAACCAAATTGGGAGATTAAGGTTGCCAGCTATTAAAATGTTTCCACTTTTGTGTTTAAAAAACAACCAACCACAGATGAATCAACTACGAAGTCCTCGCCCGCCCGATGTGAAGTGCTGCCTTGGGGGTCTAAGGACGGCGGGGGCGGTCCGCGGCCCCCGGACTGCCTGCTCAGGCCGCCCACCCCTGTGCACGTGCCACGTGCCTGTATCCGGCCCCCCGCAGGTGAGCGCTGAGACGGGAAGAGGGCAGCGCAGACCCACGGGCAACCGGCAGGGCACTCCTTTCAGGAGAAAGCGCGGTCCCACCAAGGAGCCCCTGGGGTCGGGCGCGCCCCCGCCGGCCGGATGGGCGGGGCTCCCACAAAGAGCGGCGGACAGGGAACCGGGACCACCCCCGCGTCCGCCGCCGCTGGCTCTGGTTTCGACAAATTAAACCTTAGAGCGCTACAAAAATTACAGGAAGAGGAGAGCGAAGAATGTGCCGAGTGGCTGGAGGAAACCCTGTCCCCGCGTGAACTTCGCCCGCCGCGCGCCCAGGCCGGGCCGGCCCGCCCCGCCCCTCCCGAGCGCGCGCCAGGCCTGCGGGGGTGGGGCTGGGGCTAGGGCACCCCCTCCCACGAGGCTCCCGGCCTCCCCCGGCGCCCAACGCCCCGATCGGCCCCCACGATCCCCAACTAGCTCGCCCGCACCTGCCCGTGCCGCCCCCCGTTTGGGCGGGGTTCCCGCCCCCGACCCAGATGACGACATCCGCCCCCGCGGCCCCGCCCGAGCGCGCCCGGGGAGGGGGCGTGCCCGGCGGGGGCGCGGTCGCCTGGCGGGCGCCAGCTCCGAGCGCCGGGATCCGCGGCTCACGGGGCCGACCGCAGGACCGAGTGGCGCGGGAAGGGGCGAGGCCCCGACTGTTCCCGGTCCGACCGCCCTGGCGCCCGGCCGGAGGCTCCGGGGGCGTGGCCCGGCGGCTGGCACTGACCCCCGTCCGCTCGCTCGGGGCACCCGGGCCGCCCCACTGACCTGTGTGAGTTCTCAGGTGCGCCTTGAGGTGCGAGGATTTCCCGTAAACTTTCTCGCAGCCCGCGTAGTGGCACTTGTGCTTTCTCTGCGGGGACTCGAGGTCGGCGCGACTTCGGCCCCGCCGGCCCCTTTGTCTAAGGCCGGGCTCGCCGCTCCCCGCGGGCCCCGGCTCCCTCTCGGGCTCCAGCCCCGCCTCAGGCTCACTCCACGCGGGGCTAAGGGGCGCGGCAGCTGCGCCTTCACCGCCGGGAGAAGCGGGCTCGGGGACGGCGGGCGGCGCGGGCGGCAGGCGGCAGGGGGTCCTCGCCTTCCGGGCAGCGGCGCCCTCTCTGCGCTCCGCCAGAGCGGGCGCTGGCGCTTGCTGGTTGAGGTCCGCTAGGATCCGGGCCACCACGAAGAGCGAGGCGCTGTCCTTGCCGTCGCGTCGCTCCTCGACGCGGGGCAGCGTGGCGGCAACAGCGGTGGCCGCGCCCTCGGGTCCGGGCTCCGGCCCCTGCCGCGGCCCGTGCACGACCGCGCGGCTCGACATGGACACGAGGCACTCGGCGGCGAATTGGTCCCCATAGGCGGCGGTTGCCATGCTGCGGGCTCCGGCCGGCGGGCCGGCGGCACTGCTGGTCGCTGCGAATCGTCAGCGGCGCATCCGCACCCACGGCCTCCGGAGAGCGGGAGGGGGGCGGGGGCGCGGCGCGCCCTCTCCGCTGGGCTGGGCGCGCAGCCGCCTCTGCCGTCACCCGCGCGGCTCCGCGTCCGCGAGGGGCCCGCCCGGCCAGGCACTGAAGAGTGAGTGCATGGGAGGGTGCGGACGAGTGGGGTCCCCGCGCGGCCTCAGAGGCAGCCTGTCTTAAAGATGCCGAGCAGCGACGTTAAGGACGACCGCGCCAAGTCGCGGCCGCAGCCTCGCCGCGCACTGTGGCAGGCAGGACAGCCGCCGTGCGCGCCGCAGCTCGGTGTGGGCGGCCCGGCCCCGGGGGTGGGCGGGGCCGGGGCCACATCTGGACCCGACGTCAGCCCCCAGCCACATCCTGGCGGCGCAGGTTACAGGCGGCGGCGGCGGCCGCGGGGAGCTGCGCGCGCGAAGGGGGCGGAGATCTCGGAGCGCGCACCGGCAAGATAGAGCGGTCGCGCGCCCGCGCCTGGGAAGGGGGCGTGACCGAGGACAGAGGTGGGCGCCATTGGTCCGTGGGTGCGCAGCCGCGGACCAATCCGGGCCTCAAGAGAGACCTACCGGCCTCGGGGCCTGCGCGCGCCAATGGGCGTGCCCCCTTGGCCGGCGGGAGGAGGGGCGGAAATTGGAGCCGGGAGTCGGGCACGCTGACGCACGTCGTCCGGAGGCGGTGGGTTGGGGCGGGGCAGCTCCCCGCCCTCTCTCTCCGCGGGGAACCCGCGGGGTATTTTCCTTCCAGACCTTTTGTACCGTGACAGCCTTGAGCCCTGGTGTGGAGGCGAACGCTAGGGAGGGAGTCCCATTGTCCCTCCAGCCCCGCCCGCGAGGGCCGCCGGGGATGGGTGCGCTTCGGCGGGGCTCGCCTCCACTTTTCCCCTCCAGAGCGAGGTTTGCACCGCGAGGGAGGCGTGTCCGCTCCGGCAAGGCGCAGGGCTGTCCGCCGCGCCTGGGGGCGGAACGACTGCCGCCGCACCCACCACAGCCGGGCTCCTGGGTGGCCGCGCCCTAAGACTCTGGCCGCTCGCTCCCTGCACGGTCTTCTCTTGCTGAGCTTCGGGCCTCGGCGCTGCCTGGCCGGGAGCTGGGTCACGACTGGGGCGGGGCTGCTCCCGCGGGAGGCACCGGGAGCTCCCCGGACTGGTCCCAGATTGCCAGGGACCCGGAGTGGGCCGCGCTGCCCTTGAGTCCGAGTCAGCCGGAGCCAAACTGGCCCCGGGCTAGCGGTTACCCTGACAGCGTGGGTGTCGTGCCCACCGCCGTCCTGTGCTTGCAGGAGTGAACTACGTGCTGGGGCGGCCGGCGCGCTGTTCTGGGAACGCGGGGCCCCTTTCCCTCCCCACCCCAGCCAGGCCTGCTGCCAACTTCGCTACGCTGCCCCTCTCCCACCGCGGTCGGGGAGGCTTCAAACGCCACCAGCTGCGAGAACCCCGCCCACCTCTCCCCACCCACCCACTGTCTGGGCCTCCCGAAGGAAATGATCGGCTGCGCCCAGCTCGCGGTCTCCCCGCCCAAGTCCCGCCAACTTGCCCTTGACTCTCAGCGGCGCCCGCATTCGCACCCCCTCTGCCCCCACCGTTCTCTTTCAGGCCTGTGCCATCACCGGCTTGGCCGGTGCATAACTTCGGCTGCCTCGTAACCGAGCACAGCAACCTCGCCCGCAGCCCCTGACCCAGGGAGACTAGGCCGGGGTCTGCATTCCTGGTTCATTTGCCCTAATGGACCTTCGAATGTGTCAGCCGCCCGTTCAGGAGAGCCTGGAGAATGAAGGCAATCCATTCTCACCCGCTGTGGACCCGAGAAGAGAGGCTGGTGGGGCCAAGTCATCCTGCGCACAGAATCGGGAGCAGCCGTTTCTCACCGAATTAATTTGGGGGCTAGGTAGAAAAAAACGTTTCCAGGTAACCAGGGAGGAACTGAAACAGGCATGCTGAGTTGCATGTTAGGGTGAACTGCAAACTGGAGTGGATGTTTGAGCACCCTGGGCACTTGTACCTTACACGCTAAAGTTCCCTCTCACTGATCAAGCTAGCTAGAGTCCTCTGGGAGGACTCCCCAGCCTGCTGCACTGGGGTGGGCTCTGTAGGGGTCAAGTCCCTCTAAGAGGGTCGCTTCTTGGCAGGCAGTAAGCATTCTCCCAGGCAACCTGTGTTGGTGACATTTTAGAGATTTGTGTTCTGACCAAATAGCGATTCACAGCGTTCCTCCCGTCCCACCACATCACAGTCAGTCATTTCATGAAAGATGGAGCTGGCCCTACACTGATTTACCAGCCACCCATCCCTTCCTGGTCGCTCTCCAGCCAGCGGGATTCTGCCTAGTCTCTGAGGTACCATGTGGCTCCACTTTCTCCATGACCCCAGCTGATTGGGAGACAGCCATGGACAAGACACCTGCCCTGGGTGAGGGGAGGCAGGCCTGGGCCCAGGGTCCTCTACAGTGACACACACCCCACCTCCATCCACAGCTAGAAACAGTCCACGGGCCCGGCTGGCTTCTCAAGCATTTGGTGACTGCTGTGCAGTTCACTGAAGGCAACCTCAGGCCTGGCAGCCTTTATTCAAACCCCATGTGGACGTTATCTTCGAGACAGACCCAGGCCTCTTCCCCCAGAAAACCTCTTGAATTAGTTCCAGGTCCACATTTTCCTTCCTAAATAGGATTTTGACAGAGGTGGCTTATGTATGTATGAGGGCTGCTGGGGACTAAGTGTCAGATGAAAGGACCAGAAGGAACAGAAGCAGGGTGGGGAAGATCAGATGAGAGCAGGTGGTTGGAGATGTGGCTGAGGAGGAATGAGGCTAGACTGAAGGTGGCGAGGCTTCTAGAGGAAGAGGGTGGAGTGATAGTATATGTGGATGCTAACTCCTGGAGCCTCCTGAAACAACAGTTTGTTGTAAGGCAGAAAATGGCAAGGACAGGGCGAGCATGGCAGGAACTCACAGCCACACGATTTTTGAAGCTCAAATACTTAGCAGGCCTGCAGAAATCGAATCCTGAAATGGTAGTCAGGAAGGAAGCCCAGGAACAAACTGGAACTTCCAGAAGTTTCACGAATGGGTGGCAGACCTCTGGATGTGGGTGTGAGTGGGAGTTAAAATAAGAATAATGGGCTAACAGTCTGCTTAAGAAGACTGATGCCCAGATCCCCTCCTTAATTCTGTGCACCCTTCCCCATCCTGACAAAAGACTGGATATTTATTACCCAAAGAAGGTCAAAGGGAGCGTCTTGGGTTTGGAGACACCAGTCACAATTAAGGACAGAGGTCCCATAATAGGAACGGGGGGGGAGGGGGCGGGATGTTAAATGAACATATCAATATTGGATGCTGAGACCACCGCCCCCCCCAACCCCCTTTCTGGGATTTCAGAATACAGGCAGCCAGGAGACTGAGAAGGGTGTTTCCTGGGCCATCAGACCAGGCCAAGAGGAACACCTAAACACTCTGCCATTTGCAGTTGCCCAGCTAATCAGCCAGATCACCCTAGAAGGAAAGGCCATGGTTAACAAGTCCCATGCATGTGTACAGGGCGTCTAATCTGTCTTTCACAGGCAGCCACAGCTAACCTGGCATCTCAGGAAAGCCCGTGTCATGAAATCTAAAGCCCCAATTTTTAAAAAGCAACTTAGAGGAGACAGCCATTATGCAGAGAAAAGTACACGTCTACATAACCATCAATAATGCCATCAGAGAAATTAAAGATATGGCAACCCATGAGGGAGGAGATATATAAAGAAATTCAGAGAACAAATAAATAATGTTCTTGGAAATTTAAAATAAGGTAGCAAAAAACAACAACCCTCACAAGAGGGATTGGAAGATAAAATTAAGGACATCTCTGTGAAAGCAGAACAAAAAAAGAACCCTTAAAATAGGAACTAGGAGAAAAAAAATAAAAATAAGAGGACGATCCAGAAAGTTCACTAACCCAATAAGAATAGGAACCCGAAAGGAGTGATCAGAGAAAACGCGGCGTTGGGGTGAATCATCAATGAATTAATCCAAGAAAAGCCTCCCTAACTGAAGAGCATGTGTTGAAAGGACCACAGAGAACCCAGCACCATGGGACAAAGTAGCCCCACCCCAAGGGACATGGCTGTTGAAATCCTGAATAATGGGAACAAAAAGTGTCCTCGCATTAGGAGCAGGTCACAGAGACAGTCACAAGCCAGAATGGCTGTGGGCTTCTCCACAGCGACAGGTAGAAATTAGAAGGCAAGAGGCAAAGCCTTGGGAAATCTCAAGGAGAATTATTTTCCCACCTTCACCCAGCCAAAGCATAAACCAAGTCCATTTGACCTTTCCTGGAACAACACAGGTTAGAACTTCTCTGGTCCACTTATACACAGATTTTTTTTTTCAATAAATACAGTTGTACCGGGAGTGCTAAAAAAATGTATACAAGTGGACACTTTGGTCAAAGTTTCTCAAGCAGTACTTCACCATCAGAAGTGTCTGGATGCTGATGGGAACCACTTTGAGCACCTCTTGTAATTGCAGAAGTCAAAAATGACTTGTAGGCTCAGTTGGTTAAGAGCTCGCTCAAGAGTCTGAGCTCTGAGCAACAGCGGTTCGAGTCCAGCCCGAGCTGAGCAGCTGCTGAGCTGCCAACAGGTGGCAGGATGGCTCAGTTTAAAAAAAAAATGACTTGTATTCATCTTTTGTCATTGATATATATTGAGTATTACAATTTTAATACAGTTTCCCTTTCTTAAAATGTGTATGCATTTTTTGGTACCCTCTGTATTTTCTCTTCCTTATGATATTTCTTAATCACATCTGTAGCTTACTTTTTTCGTAGGACTACAGTATGTAATACGTGTAACATACAAAATTTGCGTTAATCAACTATGTATGTGATCGGTAAGGCTTCTGGTCAACGGCAGGCTATTAGTAGTTACGCTTTTAGGGAGTCAGTTCATTGGGGTCAGTGCCCTTAACTCCCATGTTATTCAAGGGTCAGCTGTATTTTTAAATGCACGAGGTCCCAAAACCTTGACCTTCCATGCATCATTTCTCATGATAGGAAGTTACCAGAGATAATGCTTCTCCCAAAATGAAGAAGTGAACGAAGAAAGAGGGAGGCAAGTGATCCAGGAAACGGGGGTTCCACACAGGAGGGAGGGGAGCTGCGCAGAAGGCCACCAGGCCAGACTGGGGCATGTCAGAAGCTGCCGGAACACTTCTTCAGGAGGTGAAATAGAATCGAGGAGAGACTGGGCCATGTTGCAATACGAACAACCTGCAGATCTCCGTGGTTCACTTCTGGCCACACTATGCATCCATAGCGAGACACCTGGGGAAACCCAGGTTGGTGGAGCAGCCTCTGTCTACAACACGCTGGTCGCCGTGGCAAAAGGACAGGGAGAGCACCACCCACAGGTGTCACTCCTGTTTCCC